GTTTTCTGATTGCGCATGATACGATGGGTTAGTTTGGAGGTTCTAAGTCTGCTATGGTACCTGTCGGCTGATCTAACAAATGAGAAGAATCGGGAGGGATGGGTGGGAGGGGTATGACGTAAGACATGGCACGAACACGCGCAGGTAGTCCTTCTACGAACCCCTCTCTCCTCCTCCCTTCTCCCCCTCCTCACTCCTCCTGCCCGCTTCCTACTCCTGCACGACGATTCCGTCCCTTACCCAACAACGCTGTTTTTTCGTAATGTATTGTCGCTTCACGGCCCCGGGTCTCAGAAACTGCCTACAGATGCCAAAACGGTAGGACAGATCTATGGCGACTCTTTCAAGACGATGGATGTGGGCCTCCCTTCTTCTCGCCGCACGCACGTCGCCTCTGTCACGGCTCCTTGTCCCAGGGCCGCGCTAACGGCCATGCTGGTTAACGGCGATGTTGTGAATCTGCTTTCTGCGACGCCGAACTCGCGCAGAACAAACAATTTTTAGGACCACGCGACGAAGCTATTCCTACAGGTGCGTCGGCCACGAACCACCCCCGCCTGCAACACCGAAACCTGCATCGCCGTTCACTGCACCGCCGTTCACTGCCTCCTCCTCCTCCTCTCCTCCTCCCCCTCCTCCTCTCCCTCCTCCTCCTCCTCCTCCTCCTCCTCCCCCTCCTCCTCCTCCTCCTCCTCCTCCTCCTCCTCCTCCTCCTCCTCGGTCGGACACCCGCCGGCCCCTAACCCGGCCTCGCCCGCAGCGCGCGCGTGCGGCTCCCGCCCCTGCCGCGCCCGCGACGTCCAGGCGCCCACGATCGGGTGCGAAGGTCCTGCTGACCGGCCTCGAACTGATCCCTAATGTCAGGGGGACGTAAGACCTGGGTACAGGGGACTCGGAAATCCCCGACGACGTCGTCAAAAAAATGACGAGGCCGAGCCTGCATTTTGACGAGGCCTCCCGCTGCAGACATCCCATGAAACTCCTCCTCGCCAAAATCCGAGGCGCGGTCGTCAAAAAACGATGCGAACCCGAGTCCTGGCAAACCCGGGTCTTACGCTCCCCCGATAATGCGGGATGACGATTCATAAAAAATGGCAGAGAACGATTCAAATAAAAACATAGCTTTCTGCTGTTTCTGCATGATTTTCTGTCTGGAGGAGAACGATCAAAACAATTCGTTTTCCAGCCCGCGGCCGGCTTTTTCTAATCGTCATCCCGGGCGCCGCCGCGTGAACACGACCACCGGCCATTTATTAATCGTTTTCCTCCATTATCCCTCAGATGGGCGAGCAAAAAGCGGGGACCATCTCGGGGACGTGCTCGCAGAAACTGAGGGGAACCCTCAGATCGGCATCGAGGCGAGGTGATCCCAAGCACAGGGCTGGGGGTATGCTTCGAATTGGCCTGCCCGAGCCCGGCTGGAGTCCCCGCCGAACGTGGACAGGGCCCCCGCCGAACTGCGGGCGGAGCCTGGGCCTCGTCTGCACGCCCGGGCCAGGAAGCGCGGCGCAGGCGCTGCCCCTGACGCGCCCCTGGAGGGAACCACATCGACCGTGCGGACCCCTGCGCACACCCTGAGAAACAGAAATGCCCGTACCGCGACCCTTCGCCCGTCTTCCTCCCTCCTGGGAAGCCCTTATCACCACCGCTGGGTTCGCCTGGCCATCCGGGTCAGAACGCACCCCCGGGGACGTCAGGGGAGCAGCGCCCCTAGAAATTCATAAACACTTGCCCCTGGGGCCTCCGCTACCCGATAAGACGAGAGCTGGGGCCCCATTACGGGCTCGCCTCTCGGGGTCCTCTCGGGCAGTCTCGGGGGCCCCTCCCGGGCCGGGGCCCCTCTCGGGGCCAGCCTCTCGGCGGGCTGTCGGGAACCTCTTGGGGGGTTCTGGGCGGATCTTGGGCGCCTGCTGGCGGTCGCGGGAGCCTTCTTGGCGGGCTCTTCGGCTATTTTGCCCTCTTGGGCCGCCTTGGGGCTTCCCTGGGTGTGTCTGGAGCCGTCTTGGAGCGATCCTTGGGGTCCATTGGGGCGTTGCTGCTGGAAGCACGAACCAGCAAGAACGCAAACATCTATGCGTTTGCCTCTGAGGTCCTCGTTGGTGTCTTTTGGACTCTCTTGGGGGTTTCTTGAGCGTCTTGAAACTATGTCGGGCAATTGCTCAGCGTTCTTGGGCCATTGCGGGGTGCTTGGATCGCCTTGTTGCTCCCCTGAGGCGCTCCGGGGGGCATCTTGTGGCAACCTGGGGCCGTCCTGGAGGCTCAAGAGGGCCGCGCCGTACCAATTAGTACCTGGTGGCTGCACTTGGGGCTATAGGCCCTTATCAGTATACACGCTTGTATGCATGTGTTGTACACATGTGAGCAACGAAAAGAAGCGGGCCTTACGCAAGATGGCATGGCGACCTGACGCGTTGGCTTACGCGGGCCGCCAGCGTGGCACACCGCGTGTAGAAGAAGGAGCTTACGCCCGGACTTCCGCGGGCAGCCTACACACCCAGGTCGGCGAAGACGACCCGTTTTCTTCCGTCGCTCGTGTCATTGTCTGTGTATATTATACATACACACAAATATATATAAGAATACGTATGCAGCGTGTCATGTGTGCGAGGCAACACAGCGAAGCCTACAGGAAACGAGGCGTCCAGAATGGTTCGAGTACGGAAGTGAGATGAGGGACGAGGGAGAGAGAAAGAGAGAGAGAGAGAGAACTAACACAAGACAGAGAGAGAGAGACACAAATAGTGTTAGAGATAGAGAGAAACCTAATGGTAGACAAAGGGAGAGAGAGAGAGAGAGAGAGCGAGAGAAAGCAAGCAAATAGACAAAAGCGAATGGCACATGCATGGGCGTTCACCTTAAAAAGGGGCAGCAAACAAACACATGGATGAACGGACTGGTGAACGGAGGTGGCTTGGATCGCGTGCTCAACAAGCAGATTGCAGATGGATATCCGCCTCGGTGCCCTGAGCAGGTAGTGGAGTGCACCAAGGCTCATGCAAGTGTGAGCGACACAAGGGTTAGAGAATGCGTCTGGGCCCAGGCACACGACTTGACATAACTTCACTGCGAGTCTTGGCGCTTCAAGGGCGTGCCTGAACCCAACGTGCTCGCAACAACGTCGAAGTCAGAGGACGTGACGGGCCAGATGCCCAGGAGATGTCCCAAATATCGAATCACACCAAACAGTTCGCGACCACTAAATTGCGCAGTTCAGGTTGGTCTATAGCTTCATATTCATACGAAGAAGGATTAGCGTGGGGTAAGACCCTGTTGGCACCCGAATCCCATGGGATATAATAGGAGTGATTGGGCAGCCCAGCGAACACGCGTCTGATATAAACACGCAGGGAGAAGTAATCGTAGGTTCTCGTACCGTAGCTGTTGTACTGTGCACAGGAAGACAATATAAACGAAGCGAGGGTTGCTCGCCCCGTCCCAGCCAACACACATGTGCCTTGAATTGGGTTCGCGTCAACAGACAACCCTCACTCCGACTACTTCTTAGCTTGAACGTCGGCCCCGATGCTGGCAAATCTGCTTCGCATTGCTTCGCAACGCATCGCATGACCTGGCTGTGCATCCCAACCCCTGACATACATGTCCGAACACATCCTATAGCTGGTGTAATCATATGGTGGCCAACTTTGCCCAGCCTATGCCAGCCTTGCCGGACCTGCCGTTGCTTCGGCTAGCTTCGACATTACGATCTATCTAGCTTGGGCCGCCATAGCAAGCTACTAGCGTATTCAAGCTCGCCTTAGAAGCGCTGCACTGACCTGGGCATGGTTACGATGTCGTTGAATGCGCTTAGCATGCGCTGTCTCAAGACGGTCCCAGCAAGTCCAGCCTGGCCGATACTGGCCGACATCGCACACGACTGCCTCATTTTGTCGCGTAGGTGCGCCAGACGACGTTTACCTTAAACGCAATTGCCACGCATGGGTGGGCCCATTTTGACTTATCCGTCACCGTGCTGTCGGCAATGAGTTGAGTGCCCATAAACCATGCAAACAACTCTTCAATCTGGTGCCTTGCACATGCTTTTTATATGCCCGCCTAGCTCCGGTTAACGTGTCGCGGATGTGTCCAGAGATGGTTTAGTAACCCCACTAGCCATACTTTAGAACACACACAGCATTTGCCTCTTTCAGGTGGATGGCGACAAGTCTGGCTTTGCTCTGCCAGTGCCCTGAACATCGGCCTTGAATTAGCTTCACTCGGCTCTGCATATCCAGCGTAACTCACCTGAACCAGGAAACATCGCGTTTCTCCCCCACGTGTGCACAGATTGTGCTCGATGCCAGACAGGCAAGCCAAACGAACACAAACACACACACACACACACTCTGTATGTACAACGCTCCTATCGCGCGCAATAGCCCCTTATACCAGGCGGCGGTACTACGGAAATGCCCCCGGCGGTCCCGAGAAGTCCCAAAGACGCCCAAAAGAGGAGGCAAGAGAGGAGCAGGACAGAAGAGGGGAACGAAGGAAGACGACGACGACGACGACGAAGATAACCACGACGACGACGACTATGACGACGACGACCACGACGAACACGGCGAACATGAGGAGAGAGACCCCGACGCAAAGCCGAAACACGTGCCGTATTCGACGGCTCCCGCAAGAATCGGGGCACGAGGCCGCAAACGTCACGGCTACCTCTGCCCTCCTCGAGCAATATTACCGCTCAGAAAACTGAACCAGCACCTCGGCTGGGCGCTGCGCTTGCTGCAGGCAGCTGAATGTCACAAAAAAAAACGGATGCTGGATCCAAATGGTCTTCTCCGGTATGGCTGACGACATCGGCCTCGCGACGGACGCGCAAACAGCGTGGGCCACCACATCCTCAACCTTCGTCAACTGGCGCTCACCTGTCGACCCTCTCCGACCTCCTGCCACACACACACACACAGCGTCAGCGCCCCCGCGCCCCCCGCTCCGCAGCCGCAGACCCGACACGACCTCCGCCCGCCGAGGCAGCCGCCACCGGTCTCCTCCGCGCTCTGCAGCTCGGGCGTCGCGTTGCCGCGCGCCCGCCTCATGTTCGCCAGGCCGAACTCGTCGCCGTAGATGGCCTGGCCGGGCCGCGCCGCACGCCCACATCCTCTCCATGATGGCGCGGCACGGCTACGGTGGGGGGCGGGGGGCATGGAGAGAGCCCCGGGAGGGGGGACAGCACGGAGAGACTCGGCGGCGCGCCCAGGGGGGAATGCAGGGGGGGGGGGGGGGGGGGCGGGCCTCTGCACGAGGCTCGGAAGGCCTCCGGCGTTCCGAGCGCAGCTTTTCAGAGCAGCCTGCTCCGAGGAAGGCCAGGCGAGGGGCAGTGGGCAAGGAATCCTTAGACTTCTGTTGCTCCCATCGTACTTAAGGGCCACATCTCAGAAATCATTTCGAGCACCCGGAAAAGTGCCAAAAGAGTATCGAAAAAGTGTCGAAACAGTGTCGGACGAGTGTCTCCCAGGGCCCGACACGTGAAAACCCTAAAATTAGTGGGTACTTTTCTGGTGCTCGAAGTTCTTTCTGGCGATCAAGGCTAAGATAGGTTGGAACATCATAACCTTAGACACGGGATCCAGGGTCTGAATACCAGTGGGACTCCAATCGTGCACCGGCCACGGCTACCACTGCCACCCTCATCAGAAGAAGGAATCCTCTAGGGCCTGCAGCCTCCAGGGCACATTCCCTAGCGAACGCCCCCACCGCATTTCAAGATTCGGGGCTGGCTCTTTTGTCCTCGATGACTGGTGGCCGGCAGGGAGAAGGAGCACTCAACATTCGACTGCACGCAGGAGTGACCCTGGGTAATAGGTAAGAGTGACCTTTGGTGCGCGGCTTTTGGGGGGGGACCAAACTCCGGCGCGCCAGACGCTACTATCGCATCGCAATCGGTGATGGGGGGACCCCACCGTGCCCGCACCAGAGGTCACTCCGGCGACAGGTCACTCTTACGCGTATCGGGAGCGGCCAAGAGGGGGGTGTCCAAGAGGGGGGGTGCACATCATGACCGGCGGCATGTGCGCGGCCCAGCGGGGGGGACCAGGGACGTCATGAAATAAGAAGAGGCGCCATGAAATCTGAGGAAAGATCATGGCCCGCGCCATGCAATCCACCCCCCCGGTAGTCATCACCCCCCTCCCCAGACCCCCGACGTCATGAATTTTTCATGACGTCGACCCCCAAAGGTCCAGACCCATTCCCCGGGACCGGTTTTTCGTCCTGAGTCGTTTTTTGACGGTCCCAAGGGCCGGTAAGGGCCCCCAAAGGCCGAAAATCATGAAAAACCTCGCGTCGTGTTTTTTTCATAACTCGAGGGGGTCTGGGTCTTTTCCGCCCCCGAACGTGTAGTCGAAACATCGAGCCGGCCAATCGGACGGGCTCGAACTCCGAGCGGGACCGGGACGCGCCGGCACGGGCTTAAGGGTCTGAGGGGGACCCAGGGCGGCCCGGCCTCGGCGGCCCTCGCAGCGCTGATACGCTGCAGCGTTTTTGTTTTCGAGCCGGGGGCGCTGTTGTTGCGCCCGGCTTCGGGCCCCGCGGGGCCCGCTGGGATCGGGCCGGCTCGAAGCATGTCGGAGCCCCACATCATCAGGGGCAACTCGGGTCAGGGTTGACTCGGGTTCGTTTTTCGGGAATCCGAACCCGAGTTACCCCGGACCCGAGCTACCCCGGATAATTCGGGCGCCCAGAGCCCCACATCATCAGGGGTAACTCGGGTCAGGGCACCCAGCCAACACACATGAAGACGGCCCCCCAGTCCGCGAGACCGGCCGCGCGATACGAGCGTTTGCGCAATGCGTACTCTCGAAACCAACGTGGATCCATGTACCCATCGGTCGGAAGAAGTACGTAGAAACATGAAGTAGGAAGGCGTTGAAAGTAGGTTGTGTGTCCGCTCGCCCCCTAAAGAGGACGGAAGAGGTGAAGCCACTCGATCATTGAAGTAGGAAGGCGCTGAAAGTAGATTGGAATCTGGGAATCCAAAAATACCTACTTTCTACGACCGATGGGTACGTCCACATCCTTATCCTTCTTCCGCCCCTGAAGCGGCACGGGTCTCACGCGAGATGGCATAACTAGCGACCTTGCTCGGTGGCTTTTACGCCGGCCGCGAGCGCGGCACGCCGCCTTTTGGAGACGAGGGGGCATACGCGCTGCCCTACGTGAGCAGCTTGCGCACCAATGCCGGTCGTCGTCGTCGTCCGTCGTCGGCGTCTCGTCGTCGTCCCTCCTATTTCGTCGCCGTCGTCGTGGTCGTCGTCGTTTTCGTCGTCGTCGTCGTCGTCTTCCCTCCTCCCTCGTCGTAGTCGTCGTCGGCGTCGCCATCCTTCCTCCTTCTTCGTCGTTCGCGTCGTCGCCGTCTCCAGACGACCCCGCTCTTCTGCGTCGCTCCAGTGGCGGCGCGCACAGGGGGCCAGGGGGAGGGGGGAAGGCCTTTTGGAAGGAGGCTGCTCCTTCGACGGAGCTGGCCAGAAATCTGTCGATCAGGTCTGCGCCTGCTGAGAAGTATGGGGCCTTTCTGAGCAGCCTCCCCCTGTCCCCCTACCCCCCTCCTGCGCGTGGCAGAACACAGCGGGAATCTCGGAGATCCGTCGGTCCTCGAGGATGTGTGGGCGTTGCGGCTTCCTCACAGCGCTCCGGAACGCTCTGAGAGTGCTCCTGGACGCTCCAGCACTACTTGTACCTGTGGTAGCCCTGCCCGACTCCGTCGCCCCCCATGGGCGGGGAGAGGGAGAACGATATGTCACGAAGAAGATCCTGGAGGCCCCGCGCGGCAACAACTGGAGACCCAGCTTACACCTGATCCACGTCGGAACTACATCGGAGTCACGTCGGATTCACGTCGGCTGCACATCGGATTCGCATCGGACCTACGTTGGGACATCGCCGCGCGAGCGTCGGCTCATATCCTACACGGCGGACGTGTGGACCAGATGTTGGATCTTACCACAGGTTGCGCGCCGCGCGAGGCCCCCGCCCAGGATCCCCCGTAGCGAGAATCTGACTACCTACCAGACCACACCAACCCAACCCGAAGACCCGAATTTGACCCGAATTTCGGGTTGGGGGGGTACGGGTTCCATGTTTTTACAATACTCCCCGACCCCCCCCACACTGGAAATGGAGGGCAAATGGAGGCCTTCGGGTTGGGTTGGGGTGGTTTGGTGAGTGGTGATAATCGTGATGATGAGGACCAGAAGAGCAAGGGCACGCGGTGACGAGCACGTGCCTCGAGGGGGGCCGCGCGCGCCAGACAGGAGGCGGAAGCGCGCGAGGGCGGGGGGCCAGCTCGCCCCGGGCAGCGACATCCACAGCAGTAGTGGCAGACCCGGCCAACAGCCAGGGAGGACTCGGAGAGAGAAGCCAGCGGGGGACTACGACTTGGACGCCCGAAATGGGCACTGAAAGAATGGGCACAATGCCCAACAGCAAATGTTGTCGCAAACCATCAGCGGCCGCTGTTGGGCAGGCGGTCTTCTGTCTCGTCTGGACACAGGCCGCGGCGGCGTGGACAGCGAATCCTGTTCAAGATGAACAGGAACTGCTGTTGGGCATTGTACACATTCTTTCCGTACCCATTTCGTTCGTGCCGACACGATTAGGTCGGGCATGTCCTCCTACAGGCGGACTTGGGGGACGAATTCTGGACAAGGCCAGAAAATATTGAAACATAGTTGAAAATAACAAACACATCGTTTCCGGGCTACTATTTTCCACTATTTTTGAAATGCTCCTCCTGAAGAGGCACATGCCCGACATAAGAACAGCGGCGATGGCGCGGAGGCATGGCGCGAAGGGAAGGGGCGCCCTGAGGAGGCTGGCCAAGGCGTGCCGCAGAGCTGAGAGCAAGAGAGGCGAGGTGAGGAGGGATCGAGACGTGAGGAGTGGACGGACTGGGTGGGGTTATAAGGGAACCAAATGTGACATAAACGTAAAAACTCGGAGGTCCGCGCGGATTTCTCGGATCGGCGCTGGACCTCCCTCCCTGGCGCGCGGAGCGCGCCAGGAGCGGCGCCAGAAGCGCCGCTAGGGGGCCCCAGCGCCGATCCGAGAAATCCGCGCGGACCTCCGAGTCTTCATGTTTATGTCACTTGTTGTTCCCCTAGGCCCTAGGTTAGCAACTGCCGCGCGCCATCGGGGTGTTCAGCGTCATCACCGCGGGCATCTGATGGAGGTAGCTGCCAGGGCCGGTTCGGAGCCTCCCCGCGTCCGCGTCGTCCATGGTGAGCCTGCCCGCGCGCGGGACTTTCCAGCGCGACGCCCGGCCCGGATGCGGCGCCGCTCGACGGAAAGAGCTGGGGAACATTGCGTGCCAGTGTATGTGGTGAACATGTTCGAGCGCGGTCGCTGCACACAAGCTGGTCAACTAGCTCAAGAAAGGGGCCCGTCGTCGCTGCACTGGAGGTTGCTTCACCACCGCGACAAAAGGAACAAATGTGCGCGCTGGAGACTAGTCGTGGCTACACTGGCAGTTGACGAACACATTCTAGTGACTAGATGGGTGTGTGTTCGCTGGATTTGGCTTTGTGCGCCGCGAGCGGATTGACACACGAGCGCTCTGGTTAGACCAGAGGTTGTGTTGGTAATACGCGTGTATATATATATATATATATGTGTGATTCGTGAATGTGTTGATTGAACTGTGTGAGTTTTTTCGTAAATCACACGTCATCACTTGCTGGGCCCTCCCGATGGATTCGGCGCATTCTTGCCTTGCCGCCACGCTTCCACAACCTTCACTGCCCCCCGGGGAGACCCCCGTTTACGACCGCTCCGCCTTCTGCTTCCGCGTCTCGCGTTCTCGCACGCACCTATCTAGGCTGTTTGGTGGTTTCGCTTTTCGCCTGGCTCTCGCTGGGGCCACCCGTCTGGTGCGCGCTCTCAGACACGGTGGCCCAGCTGTGCTAGCTGCTAACCTGGCCCCTAGCTGCGTTCCTGGTGAATGTTTTTCGCCACGTCGGGAAGAGTAATGTGTGTATGATCGTGTCTTGGGGCGGCCGTCCTTGCAGCGCATGCCGGGCTTCGGCCACCACTTCGCCGCTCCTTTCCTGCTTGCTAGCTTTTATGCTGCGGCGCGCCCTTACAGATGGGCTGCGCAACGCCGCCGCTGCTTGTTTTCCTCGACCCAACCCTTGCATTGCATTGCATTGCATTGCATTGCATTGCATTGCATGAGCCGTTCGGCCTTTTCCGCGTGCTCCCCGTTTGTGCGGTTCTGCTGCTGCATGTGGCTGCCCACATCCAGTCCACCCATCTGCTACGCCAGTTGGTAGCTCGCCTGAGCATGACCCCGCCCGGCGCATCGTGAAGGCGTCGTCACCTCGCCGATGAAGAAAACAAGCCGTTCGTGCTCGCAGTGTTATGAGCGCGCGGGCGTGTATAGCTGTGCGCTTGCACTGTGAGACCTCACTTTCGAATCCATGCAGATGTGGAGCCGTATATTTGTTGTTGTGACAGCATGTGGCTACGAGACTGCCTATCCTTTGAAGCGGTGTTCGTCACTCGTCGCTCTTGCCCCAGCGCAGAAAGGATTGCTTACGTGGCTCAACCAGCGCTCCCCGCGGCTCGCCCGAGGTCTGCGCCGGCCGCTGCGTGATACGGGAAGACACAAGATCTTCGCTGATGAGAGGTTATCCTGTGCCTGTGCGCGTGCGCGCGACGGCGTCACGCGCACGCGCATCCTTCATCATTTAATGATAAAGGATGCGTCTAGCATATCCCAATCGGACCAGCGAGGAAGACGGCACAGCGCCACTAAGTAGCAGTACGCCGTCGCTAAAGCTGCGCGCCAGCAAAACTTCTACTCTTACCGCATGGTGCAATGAGCTCGGGCACACACTTGTTTTTTTGATTCGCGGGTCGAGAGCGCACCCCTTCCGGTCGAAGCTGAGCGGGCCGCGTGGAGCTCGAATCAACAAAGAGGGGGGGGGCAGGAGGAGGGCGGCCTCACGGCAAGGCCAGGAGGAGGCAACGCCTCGGGATCGGGCGGTGCCGGAGCCGACGTGCTTGCACAGGGACGCCTTGTACAGGAGCTCGGGCACACACTTTTTTGATTCGCGGCCCGCAATGAAAAGTCCAGAGAGCGGTGTGAACGAGGCTGGGGCACAGCGCACGGGAAAACAGATAATTAACGGCGCAGCACAAGTGCAACGAGCTCGGGCACACACGTAGAAACATGTTCACAATCTGAGCGTGCCCCGCCGCCAGCGGCTTCCGCCTCCTCCTCTCACCCGCCCCCCTCTCCTTGTGTCCTGTGGGCCCCAATTCGGCTCCGATGCGTCCCTCGGCTGAATAGACCGCTTCTGGGACTCAAGCTGCCGCTAACAACAACGCCTGTGCGCGGGATCTCTGCGGAAACCAAAAGGCACCGATACCGCTACTCCTCCCCACCCCGGACCTCTCCTGGGTTGCGTCCTGGACAGCAGTTCGAGGCGACTCCAGCGGTGGCGACGAGGGCCTCCCAGGAGACCCCGAAAAGGTAGCGCGAAGGAAGAGGGCAGCGGCAAGGGCACCCGCTCCTCCCCCGACATCTACCGCTTCTTGGACGCAAGTTGCCGCTGGCACAAGCGCGCCCGCACGGGTTCTCTCAGCCTGCCCGCCTCGTCTTAGGTCGGGCCTGTCCCCCTACGGGGGAATTTTGGATGAAAGATAAGACATAGTCCAAACACATGTTTAAAACAAACTCAAAAATGGTCAAACAATCATCCCCGGACTACTTTTTTTAACCATCTTTGAATCTTCCTCCTGTAGAGGCACAGGCCCGACTTACAGTAAGCCCGCACAGGAAGGATGCGCTATAATGATGCAAGGGCCTTGGACGCCCCTTTCGAAGCTCTCCGAGCGGGGCGCGGCCAACGAAAGTGGCCAAGGCTGGGCCGAGGAGGCAAGGATGTAAGGGTACCCTTGGGAGGGTTGTCAATCCTTACTATGCGGGTTGACTAGGGGGAAAAACAAAGCTACCTCGCTTTTGACCACCCTCGCTTCCAAGAGATACCAAGCGATGCCAAATTACGGCTTGTACTGGTCAGGCCCCTTGACGAGGAGGCGCGTGGTGTGACTTGGTTTTGCCTGGAAGCGAAAGCGGGGTAGGTAATTCACGCTCTGATTGACTGAAGCCTCGTCCCCCTCCGCCTCCCCGCGCCGGTGCCCGCGGAGCGCCCGCGGAGCGCGGCGAGAAAAAGCGGAGAGCGCGCGCGGCGCGAGGAGGCGGCCCGCGGCCCCGCGCCGCCGGGGAGCGCGCGTGTGCAGGCGTGGCTGTGTGCATGTCCGCGCGTGTGCGTGTGTGTGTGTGTGCGCGTGTGAATTAGGGGAACAAAAACTCGCTATCGCTCGGACGTCCATTCCCCTGTGCTTTTTTTCGGTTTCGTGCGTGGTTTTTTCGACAAATGACCAAGGATGCTCCTCGATGGTCCTCGCCGAAGGAAGAATGCACACGTCCGAGCGATGCCAAGAAAAGTTACATAAACATAAGAACTCGGAGGTCGGCGCGGATTTCTCGGAACGGCGCTCGACCCCCCTCCCTGGCGCGCGGAGCGCGCCAGGGGCGACACCAGAGCCGCCAGGGGGCCCGACCGCCGATGCGGGAACTCCGCGCGGACCTCCGAGTTGTTATGTTCATGTCATTCTTCGTTTCCCAAATGAATGCGTGTGCATGTGTGTGAACGTGTACACGTCGTTCATGTCTAATCGTGCTCATTTCTGACTGTGCTCGCTTCTGATTGTTCCTGGCCCCCTGGTGGCCAGGAAGAGGCCCAGGATGGGACACTTAGAAACGAAAGGACCCTGGCCCCCCTAAAAAACCAGACCAAAGAACCTTCGAATACTTAGAGATGAACAATGTGTATGTGTGTGTGTGCGTTTCGGATGGCTTGCCGTCGGACCTGGGCCAGAAGAGCAGACTTCAGGAGCAACGAGGCCCTCCGTCGGCCAAGACACGCAGAGCATCCCGGGGTACCCTCCCCAGGATGCACGGGAAGGCCCACGAAACACAAAGACCAGGTCGGGAGCGGCCACGAGGGGGGTGTCCAAGAGGGGGGGGTGCAGATCATGACCGGCGGCACGTGCGCGGCCCAGCGGGGGGGCCTGGGACGTAATGAAATAAGGCGAGGCGCCATGAAATCTGGGGAAATATCATGGCCCGCGCCATGAAATCCCCCCCCCCCTAGTCATCACCCCCCTCTTTTCCGCTCCCGACTAGGCACCCTCCCCGACATGACCTGGGTCTTACACCTCGGTCCGACTGCATGGCTGACGGCGGCTGCGAGACCCAAAGCGGTCTTCGAGGGCTCGGGCGCTTCCAGTCCGCGCGCGCGCTTCCTGCCTTGATACCTCCTCCGCTCTGTCGCTGCGCGAAGGGCCGCGCCGCCAAAGGGTGTGTGTGCGTGTGCGTGTGCGTGTGCGCGCGCGCGTGCGTGTGCGTGTGCGTGTGCGTGTGCGTGTGCGTTTGCGT